TTTCCAGGACAATATAAATTTAATTTTATAATTTTTGAGAAAAAATGGTTGCTCGCTTAATGCTATATCATTCAATTATATTTTCTACAATAAATTACAAATACAGCTACTCTATCATTAGCTAGCATTAGTACCTACTTAGTTTTTTTTTTCAAATTAATTTCTAAACAGTTAACTAACTCAAAGTAACCTACATTTTCTTACAGAATATTATCAAGCTGAGCGCAGGAAGAATGTTGCCTCACGGTAGTTAGGTAACTTATCCATGGGGTGGCGTCTAATGAGCGACTTGATAGCGTTATTCAATGGTTATAGAGAAAAGTTGTTCAAAATAATAAAATGAACAAGTTTTCTTAATAAATTTTTTTTGTAAAGTTGAAAATAGGCGAACTAACCCTAAAAACAAAAAGGTGGTGGAAAAAAAATCCTTTTGATACAATGTTAATTGTAACTTTTTATATGCACTATAAAGGCGAGAAAAGAAAAAAAAATTAATATATACCCCTAAAAACTAAAATTTCCCCCGAGGGAAGTGTCCTCCCGCTGAATGCGGGTGAGTTACAAAAAAAGTTGATTAGGAAAAATTGTAAGAAATGTCATCTTATAAAACTTTTACTAAGAAAATTTTTTTGTAAAAAAATAAAAAAACTTTAAACTACTCCTATTGAAAAACGGCAAGGGGTGAGTAAAAACTTCATAAAGCAAAAATGTTGTATGCGTTGTAAAAAATGTTTTCACGTTGGTTAAAATTTTTCATTTTCTTTATAAAATTTCAAACGGCCCTTATGACCACAGACGGTCCTTAATCAAAAAAGTCTTTAGATAAACATTGTAGATCAAATAATGTTGCACATCTTTTATTTGAAACATTTTTTTGTACAATCAATAGGTACCAAGTAATCGCCATAGGCGCATTTTCAACCCCTATAGCGCAAAACCCCAGAGGGGTGAATTTTTGATATTTTCGGTTTTATGATCACCCACCCTCCCCCTATCATCCCTGAAAAGTTCTTTTGGGTAGGATTTTTTTTTTTGAAAATCGACAATTTTCCTAGACTACAAATGAAGAATATTAAAATAGATAAGAAAAGAAAGGTACAATAGCTTGTTTACATTATTCTGGTCCCTTTTTTTCTTACTATAGTGATGATTTATCAATTAGGTTATTAGGATATTGAGATAAACAAATCCTCTCATGTTTACCTGCTGAAATGCACAAAACACCAATTTCGAATTGTTTCGAAAATGTGATGAAAAACCTTTTGAGAATGATCATTATTTGAGTGGCAAAAATTGCCAAAACTACTTGCTACGTGCAAAATAATTATCATTTTTTTATGTAGGTACCCACTGTATACCTACTTATTATGCATCAGATAATAATATGTACTGGTATTACTATGTGTAGATATATGACAACTTGTCAATCGATCCACACTGACCAAATATACATCCAATCAACGACGTCAAATGGACGCGTAATAGACGTCTTGATACACGGTATTTTTTCTGAATGGGAAAATTTCTAAAAAGCAGAAGTATCTGTGAGAAGAAAACCATCTTTCGACTATTTCACAGATTTAATGGGTTTGCCTAGGTATTCTCTGATATAAAGTAAAAGCTCAAGCTTCAACAGATAGTTTAGAACAGAAAGATTGTCTAAATGAACTTCCAGATAAGGATGAGGTTGATCAATCCGCCGACAAACTGCGTGAACCAGGGATAAGGTCAATTCCTATGGAATCCAGAGGCCTGAAAGCCAGGAAGGCATCAGGTAGCGAGGCAGGTGAATGAGGAAAAGCCTAGAAAGGCTGTAATGTCCTTGACCTTTTCCCTTCTTGGACTGGAACACTTCTAATAGAGTAGACATAATGAGTATGCTTATTATTTCCCATTTCAGGCTTTTGAATTTTCTCTGTTTGGAGGTATTCCGAAGAAAATAATTCAAGAGCCGGGAATAGCCAAACATTTAGACAGAAAAATTTGAGAATTGGAAAGCAGAAATTTAGGGAAAATTGAGTAGATAAGTAGACTTAAATATCTTTTGAATTTTCACTGTTTGGAGACACCCCAGCTTACCACAATAACCAGTGTATCGTCAAAATAACGTCCAATTTTGGACCACTTTGGTCTCGTACGACTCTTGTCCAAAATAGAAAGTCGTACTGAAGACATGTTTTGAACGGCCAGCCGACGACAGTCTAAGCGACATCTTACTAACGTCTTTCCATATTATGTCGCATCAGTTTCTCAATTGCCTGTTAATAGTTGTTGTCTTTCAAATATTGACAATTTAGTGCTGTTATCATTCTGTTATCGGTAGGTACCCAATAGCGACATATTTTGGTGATTTCATTTAAAGGATAAATCCTGAATCTTGGAAATCCAATCGTTGGAAGTCTTTTCGACGTTTTAAGTTGGCCTTTTTGCCGTCTTAAGTTGTTTTTTTTCGGTTTTAAATCGATAGAGCGAGTCCAAATTAGTCAGAAACAACTCTAACATCACTTACATTTAAAAATTTTGATGAGAAAAAAATCCAAGTTACTGTCACTTGTTAAATTTCTGAGATATTGAGCTTCAAAGTTGAAATTTGGTCGACATTTTTGGCCCAAATCTTTAAACTCGATTTTCTCAATAACCGTAAATGCTACCGATTTCAGCGAACCACCATTTTGAAGCCTTTATTAACAGCTACTGATAAAGATAATTTTGTCCCGGTACCACTAAAAAAAATTATTTTTGGATTTTTCTCAATTCTGACTTTTTAAATCGATAGAGCGAGTCCAAATTAGTCAGAAACAGCTCTAATATCAGTAACATTCAAAAATTTCGATGAGAAAAAAAAATCGATAAAGGGAATCTAATTTTTGGTTCTGAATATTTTTTTGGAATCTTGACATGCTTGACATGAATAATTACTCATATCTTCAATAATATTTAAGAAAATTGCCTAAAATTATGCATCATTAAAAAGGGTATTAAATTCTCTATAAGCCGTGCAAAATTGGTTTTTGTTACTTGTGAAGTTTCCGGGATATCGAGTTTCACAGTTGAAATTTGGTCGACATTTAGTCCACAACTTAAAATTCGATTTTCTCGAAAACCCTAACCGATAGAGATTTCAGTAAGTATACTACTACTACTACTACTACTACTACTACTACTACTACTACTACTACTACTACTACTACTACTAGTACTACTACTACTACTACTACTACTACTACTACTACTACTACTACTACTACTACTACTACTTCTACTACTACTACTACTACTACTACTACTACCACTACTACTACTACTACTACTACTCTACTACTACTACTACTACTACTACTACTACTACTACTACTCAAAATAACTAGTTTTCAAAATGTGCTTACTTTTAAACACCGATGGATATCTCGAAAACTAATCGTACAATTTAAGATTTTGCTATAAGACTGGCAAAGGGAAAGCAACGAGCTTTCCAACGATGTACAACAACCGGTAGGTTCTGATTTGAAAAAAAATACGTTAGGGTATCTTCCCCCTAAGGGGGGAGGCCAAAGAAAAGAGCAAAAATGATACTGAAAGAAGCAAAACGAGAAAAATGAAGGCAGTACTGTGTCTCTCTCAATAAAAATACTCCAATACGACAAGTGTGGCAAAATGTAAATCGATTTAAAAACAGAAAAAAAGAAAATCGTTTTCCAATATTTTTGTGCGATACTTGGATAGAACAGTTTCAGGACATACTCTCCCCTCCATTTATTGCCAACCTTCTTCCTTTGGAGATTCCGAACAACCACAAAGTAGATGACTTAAGAAAAAGTTTGAAATTAAGGAATTTACCAAGGCCCTAAAAACTAATAACAATTCTGCACCAGGTAAAGATAATATTCATTACTCGATGATAGCTCACTTACCAGAAAGCACAAAAGAAATATTACTTTTCATTTTTAATGAGATATTACCAGTCAAATATCAGAAGATTGGCTAGATTATATAGTGGTTCCAATTTTAAAACCAGGAAAACCAGCAAATACACATACATCGTACCGACCCATTGCATTGGCATCTTGCAGTTCAAAAACCTATGAAAGAATGCTGAAAAATAGGTTGGAATTCTGGATGAAAAAAAAACAAGAAATTTCCAAAAAGTCAATATGGATTTCGTAAAGGCACATTTACACAAGAAGTAATTGCCAATTCAGTCACAGATATACAAATTGGATTCACCAAAAATGAAATCACTTCATCAATATTTCTGGACATACAGGAAGCCTACGATAACGTCAACTATAATATATTAATTCACAAAATGAACGAATTAGGCATTCCAAAATAAATAGTTAAAAATATATTTGAACTTTATCATAATCGCAGACTGTTCACCCGGACAAAAATGAAGGACTAACAAAACCACAAACAGCTAGAATTGGACTTCCCCAGGGCAGCATACTCAGTCCTATTTTGTATGTAATCTACACCTATGATTTAGAGTCAATGTATGATAACAAAGTCAAAATTTTGCCTACACCGTATTTTCAGTAAAACCCGCTTAAGTTAGAGGGGGCATTTCGTTTAAGATAACAAAAGAGACTACGCGTAGCGCAAAACTGGGAAATCCGACAACAATGCCGATATCACTGTTGAATTTCGCTGACTTTTAAAGATATTCAAGTGTTGCGATACTTTTTACTGAAAATGCGGTATTGGCATATTTCAGCAACTAGTAGTGATAGAATTCTGAGAATTTGGAATCTTATCAAATTTGGAACGACCAATTCATTGCAATAAAAATAAATGGGGCATTCTATTTAAGATAACAAAAAGACAACGTGTAGCGCGCTAAACTGGGAAATCTGGCAACATTGCCGATCAATTCCGCATGCCCAAAAACTGTCAGATTTCGAATTGTGTGAACGCGGGTTTGAAGATATTCAAGCGTTGTAGTACTTTTTACTAACCCTGTATTCAAATATACTTAAATCTATATCAGCAGCATAGGTAACTCATTTAGTTTTTTTTTCAGGTATACATTTCAAGTTAGTACTCCTCAAATGGCTGTGCTTCTGCAATTCAATTCAGCTGATTCATGGACTTTAGGCCAATTAAGAGAAAATACGCAAATTGAACAATAATTTCTTGTTCAAGTAAGATATTCTAAAATATTCATCAACTTCCATTAACTAATTTGTTATTCTCAGGTAATCCAAATGCTACTAGAAGCCAAACTACTGACTTGTGAAGACAAAACGAACGATATCACGCCAATTTCAATGGTATCACTAAATTTAGGATATAAAAAGTAAATTTGTTAGTGCTTTTATTATTAAGTAGTTGCTAAAAGATCTTTTTCTTTGTAACAAAAAACGTCGGGTAAACATAAACTTACCAACGAAAACTGAACCAAAAATGGAACAAGAAACCATCGATAAGGATATAGAAGGAAATCGTAAATTCTTAATTCAAGCCGCAATTGTTAGGATTATCAAGACCAGAAAAGTAATATACACGGAAAAGTTTGAAAAAATTTATTTATTTGTTTCTTTCCAGGTTTGCCAACACCAGCAACTGGTGGCAGAAGTGATGGATAAATTATTCTCAAAATTTAAACCAAGGGTGGAAACTATAAAGGTAATCTAAGATACCATAGAGTGAAATACATACTTTATTTTATTAATTTCTAATAATAATAATTCAACATGAAATCAAAAATCCATTCAATAATCTTATTTTTAGATATTATGATGTCATTGGATTATGTTATATCTGATTTATTGATATTATTTTTTTTTCCTTTTAGAAATGTATCGACATTCTCATCGACAAGGAGTACCTAGAGCGGAACAATGGTCAAAATGACGAATATAAATACGTGGATTGATATGACCAAAGAATTATGACTGAATAAATCCATCCTCGCATTTTGCGCCTTATGTGTGATTACTTTATGTTTCTATCAATAATGAGAGTACGTAGTCCTTGTGATAATCATTCAGAATTATTATATTTGATTATTTTATATGTAGTATATCAATAATAAGAGTAGTCCTTGTGTTATTCGTTTTCTATTTAATTATTTCGATTAATTTTACGTTCCATTCATTTTGTTTGTATGTTATTCCTATTTAGAATTTTAGAAATTACTTTCAGTATTATTTGTTTTTATTTGATCAGAATTTTTATTGTTTTGTATTGTATTTTTTTTCCGTAGGTTTTTCTGTTATTATTTTATTAGGTATTTAAAACAATAGAGTTTCGAAATGATTTTAAATGGTCTTGTGTTGGGTGTTGAGTAGAATTTATTTAATGTCTTGTGAAATATGATTTCTTGAGTATACCTACCTAATTTTCCAAATATATTTAGTAGTACTTATGGATGGTATTCTTTTTTCTGTACAATTCTCCCTACCTACTAAATACGTTACCTTTGCTGCATCTGTTCTTCAGGCTTTTAGAAATTCCAGCAGCAGTTGATCTACGATTTTCACTATAAATCAATAATATCTCAACTTTTTCTTCTTTTTTATGTAATTAATGTCAATTTTGCGATTGTAAAAAAACCCATCACTATCTAAGGCTCTCATAAAGATCATTAGCCATTGCATATTGTTAATCCTTAAGGGCAAACTAAAAAACACGTTGTAATAAGTGTAATCGCAGTCCCTATTATTTAGAGTATTTTAAAACCGGTAAATACCGACTTTATAAAGGTCCTTCCTATTCGTTTTTGAACTTGGTCGCTTCTTGCAAGGGGTGATGCAGAGTAGTGAGCTCCCTTGAGCCCTTATGCAACAATACGAGGGCCATAGGGCCGTATAATGTAGCCGCGTTAGCAGTGAGTCATTGAACGAAAGAGAATGCGATCAATTTTTTCAAATTGGCACTAAAGTTGTTGTTGTTTTTGCTCAATAAGTGATTTGGAAATTGTCGTTGGATATTCTAAATAGTGACAAGTGATTAAAGGTGGTATTAAATTTTTTTGTAAGTATTTGAAGATAGGGATGTAAGGAAAGCTATGAAATATTGCGAACTATTTAGCGTCCACTCAATTCAATTGGTTTCAGTTATTATTAAGATTTAGTTGGTGAGTTGGGTTTCTAGAAGGCACAAACTTCTCCAAAAGCAAACGTGATAAAGACTAATTTTGAAAGAAAACAAGAAAGCTCCTAGATTTCCACAATCATGTACATATATTAATTTAGCAATGGGAACAATTATTATTAATATCCATTTGTTCATTCAATAATATGTCAGACCTCAGAACTTTTATTTACTTCCATACTTTCAAGATAATTGAATTTTTTGGATTTATTCTATTTGTGCGAAATTTTAAAATCTCAAAGTCATGATTTTCTGAATTTAGATGTAATGCATAATGTGAAAGGATGTTTTTTTATGAAGCTAAATAATTGATGTTCCTTATTAATTCTTGTTTAGGAAGGTCTCCATGTTCGTCCAATATATACTTTGGATAATTTTTTCAATTTAATTCTGTTTTGTTATTTTTAACGAGTTTACCTGATTACAGTGGCGTAGCTATCGTAGGGCAAGTCGGTGCGTCGCCCCGGGGCCCCGGTGGTGAAGGGGCCCCGAAGCTACGTGCAAAAATTTTCACGAAAAATATACTTACTAGCGAAAACTCACAGGGGCGAAAGTCCTAAAAGAAGTTCGAAATAATGTATTAAAGTTAAGAGATTCATACGAAGAAATTAAAGGTGAAGCAGGGGAATTAGCAAGAAAGTGGAACATAAATCCAGTGTTTCCAGAAAAAACGCAAGTCCGATATAAAAAGCATTTCGATGAACTCGTGAACGACCACAGATTTGAGAGCAAACCAAATTTAAAGTGACTATTTATTATTGTGTAATTGACGAAGTAGTTGGTCAGCTATAACACAGGTTGATATGGAATATGTTAAAGATTATTTTGACTTTAAGGTCGCGTTCACCAGCACTCAACATGTTGAGTGATTAGTAAACGGCTATGTTCCAACAAGTGGAATACACAAGGTAGAACAGTTTTGATGATGTTGAGGGCTTGTGAATGCGACCAAATACTCTGAATTAGTCAGTCATTATCTAATACCCCAATATGTTCACCTTATAACTTTATCCAAGGACCATCTAAACAACTCTATAAGCGTCAGGCAATATTTTGAATTATTACTTGAAAAATTTGGATTAGAAAGTGACTTATCTCAAGTGTAGGTATATGGCATTCCTATTATTTTTGCCTATGACAGTTGCCACTGTTGCACGCTCCGTTAGCAAATTAAAATTTTTGAAGAATTATTTACTGGGGGTCCAACCTTGCTACGCCACTGCCTGATTATTGGTTTTAAAATTAGTCTTTATCTTGTTTTAAAGGGAATTTAAGAATGCTTTTCTAATTGATATGTAATCTAAGCCGATTTGCTAGAAATTATTTGAGATATCACCAATTATCCATAACTGTCAGGATTTAAAAAAAATTCCAAACCAAAATGGATTGATTTTTTTTCCTTTTAATTATCTATGTCATTTGCAAGGGATCTCAGACTTATTTTTGACTAATTTTGACTTGCCTTTCTGTTGGTAAAATCAAAATTGAGAAAAATTCAGAAATAAAAAAAATTAATTTCTGATACTTTTTCCCCTTTGGATGTTTAATTCAAAATCTTTGAACCCCAATATCTCGGCATTCATGTGAGATACTAAGATAAAATTTTCAGGGATTGTAGCGTTATTAGGCTTTAGAAAAGCTCATACTGGCTGATGTTACTGAGTTTATTGTAATTGCAAAAATTGTCTTTAAAGTATGTGTATCTAAATTTCGACTGAAGTTCAACTTTGACGGTTGATAGCTCAGGAAGCCCATGAGCTACTAGAATACATACAGCCCAGTTTTCAAGGGAATTTAATGCTCTTTTAGATGATATCTGATTTGAACCAATTTGCTCAGGTATTATTTAAGATCTGAAAAATTGTCCAAAACTTTGTCAGGATTTCATAAAAATTCAGAGCCAAAAATGATTTTTTTTCTTTTTAATATTTTCATTTGAAATTGATGTTAGAGACTCATTTTTAACTAATTTGTACTCGCTCTTTCAGTTGGTGAAATCAAAATTGAGAAAAATTCAAAAATAAAAAATTTGAACTTTTGATAGGCTAAATAGGTCCTACCTACCTTCCTACTTTTTCCTAAGAGTTTGGATGGTTTAGTTCAAAATCTTTGAACCCCAATATCTCGACATCGGTATGAGATATTGAGACAAAATTTTCAGGGCTTGTAGCGTTCATTAGGAATCAAAGAAGCTCATATAGGTATTGGTTGATGTCACTGAGTTTATTGTAATTGAAAAAATTGAGTTAGGGTTTCCAAATGGAATTCTATAGTTTTGGTTAGTTTGTAAAATGTTCCAGAAAATCCGCTTATGAGTTTGTTTTTCGATGTCAAGTCCGTTAATAAAGTCACTATTGCAGTTCAATGAAAGTTTACTGATTGTTCCCGCACTTATTACCTCCAATTAACACCCGATGCAAATTCGTAACAATCTACCTATCCGAACAAAAATATAGAATGTCATGTACAGGTACTATTTCCATCAAAAATATTTCCAAAAACTCCTCCAAAAACAAGATAAAGACTGCTTTTAGAACCAATAACAACTTGGCTTGGATAAACTCATTGAAAACAACAAATCCAGAATCCAGATCGAACAAACTATCCAAATCAATAGTTTACTTATAGGAATGTGGTACTTGTTCGCAAGTATATATTGGACAAAAGAAATAAAGAACATCAATCAGCGCCCTTCCACATTACACATTACATCTTAATTCAGAAAATCTTGCTTTGCACAAAGAAAATAAATCCAAAAAAATCAATTATCTCGAGACTATGGACTTTTGGTCACAACTGCTTATTGGGAACATAATGTAATGCTCAACTTTTTTTCTTCGATTAGTAGGTTTTATAGACATTTTTCTTATTTGATATGTGTTAAAGCTAGACTATTTGACACACTATATCATATCTATCAAAGTAAAGTTAAAAAGCAACATTTAAAATTACTGGTGAATACCTTACAACATACCTTTTAAAAAAAATAAGGATATAACAATAGGTATAGGAGTTATAGACATATTATACATATCTTAGTTGATAATAATATAGATACCAATACGGTTTTTGATAACACAACAGGCTACATGCGTAAACCACGCAAATGAAATATAAAAACCCGAGTAGGTACTCAAGGAAATCCTTAGAGCATGAGGAAACATAATATTGCTTGGTACCAACTACTATTGAATTACATGCAGGCACCTTATATCCGCGTATATATACACATAATTTTTTAATCGAGCTCAAATTTCCTTTTATAACTTAATTGTTTCGAAATGAAGGACACATTTTTACGTAAGCGCGGAGAATAGCCCTATGTACTTACTCATATAATACCTAAGTGCCTTTTATTTATTATTGTCCAAGTTTGAATAACTTTTAATTTACCTATGAAGGTAGGTACCTGTTAAGTTCAATAAAGTTGGTGTTCTTACTCCGAGGTACCCAGTACTGATACCCATGCCGCCTCGTATAAAATAAAAAATGCGACGCGGCCGCAAATTTGATACCGACAGTAATTTGATCTTAGTAAATACGACATAAAAAAAAAACACAAACAAAAAGAATTGGAAGGAAATGTAGAGTGGTGGTTTAGGCAGTATACACTGATAAAAAATTTGCTATAATTAAATCTAACCCGAGAAAGAGATTTTCGGGAAATATATCTGCTTTCTCAGAAAAAATAGTAAAAGAAGGTTTTAACTGCACACACTCTGAGTTATAGCATAGATTATTTCCAATAGGGAAACTGTTGGGAAACTCTTTCAGGAATTTAAACCAAATACACCATAACAAAATCAACAGCTCAAGTATTTTTGTTTATGGTTGATTGAGGCTGTGACTACATGGAAATGTTAGAACACCTTGATAAATTTTTATGTTTTTTTTTTTCTGGAAATATCTTTCCATTCAGCGAAAA